CTCCATTGAGCTCCATATTTGTCTGAATAAGCTGCAGTCACTGTCACTCTGTACAGAAGGAGATGTTGCTTTCCCATTTGCAGGAGGAGAAATCTCTTCTGAGATGTCAGTGTGAATAGAGTTAATGGAAGGTGGTGAATGTAATTCAGAATCCAAAGTCAGAGAAATAGAAGCAAGGGAAGAGGAAAATTGATGATGATGATGATGATGATGATGCGATGATGTAGATATTGATGACTTTTGAGGGATTGCAACCATACTTCTGCTCTTTGATGGGAAATTTCCACACATCAGGGAATCTTGAATTTTGACATGACTCTTTTCCCATAAAGCTTGTTGTTCAAACTGTCTTGCTTGTTCTTTAACAGTTAGTTTAATTTTGTCACCTTTAACAGTAGGATTCATGTTACTCAATTGACTTTCAGCCCTTCCCTCTCCTCCTTTCAACATTTTCCTCTGCCACTGCATAGGATCCAGAATCCCTGGTCTATGAAGGGTATTGTACATTTGATGCCCACGAATGCGAGCGGGCAATGTCCATGCTCGATGAACACACCCAGTTGGATTCTTAAATAATGCCTCTTTCAAAGTTATTCTTCTAGGTGAAGACTTGGCTAAATCTGATCCCATTTTATTATAGGACAGGTCACAATTTTCGGGAGATAGAAATACATTGGGATTATATATGGGGTTCCGTGTCGTTAATGGATTCTCATCTGATAAATAGGTGATATTGCTTTCAGACTTGGGTAGACTATTTTTCAATGTTCCATTGACAGTAGACTGTTTATGAGCCTCAATAGCACGGCAAGCAAATGCGCTTAAAAGTTTTTGCCGGTCTCCATCTTCGAAAACGGACTTTTTTCCCCTGCTTTGTTGAAAATGATAGAGAAGAAAAAGACTTGAAAGAAAAGAAGATAATCAGATGTAAGGAAATACGTTAGAATACTGTTATCTCGGCTAAGGTACTAGGCAAGGAAACCTCATGATTGCAAATGCAATTGTTTTAAGTCATGCTGAAACTCTACAATCTGTTCCAAAGTTCAAATCTTGGGATGTACTTCTGATATAACTTACGTTGATGATCAAAAAGTGCTTGTAATAATGAGGTTTGACTCTAGGTATACGACTACAACAATACAGTTATGTACACTATTCTCCTAAGGAATATTGCTTACTAGCAACTTTAAATACTTTGCACTATTAAATATAAGAGACATGATATGAAGAATTCCACTTAGCAGAACAAATCGTGGAGTACATAATTTTGAAGGGAGCAACAATTAATACTGCATAGGAAAAGGGGGCTGTTTAGTGAGTGAACTCTGATTGGCTGAGATATTGCCATGGAGACTGCACTTGGAAAATATTGTGCCTCACAGATTTGTTTCATTTGAAAAAAGGCACAATGGCTGGACATGTTCCCTTCACCTACACAGAACAGGTCCCTGTGTACAAATATGTAGCTTCTAGCAACTATAACTAAGCCACTTTGTGATCCTGCCAACTAATATTAAATTGGTTGTTACTGTAATTTTGAGCATCTTCTGGATTGTTTAGGAAGTGCTGTCTGATCACAGAATCACAGCTAAGGTTAGATATAATGGGCTAAAAATTACAGGACCAAGCAAGCCAAGAAGAAAAGCTTGTAATGAGCCAACAGACTAGAAAGAAACTTGCCTCCATGCCAAGACATGCTGTGGGCAGATGGTCTACCTTATCTAAAAGTGGGTCATCCGTGCCTCCCCCGCCCCCCGCCTCTCAGTAGCAAATCCTACCACCTGACCTGTTGGACAATCTGATTGCCTGCCAGCTTCAGCAGTACCAGCAGTTCAGTCCTGGTGGCTCTCAACACTGCATGTAGACCCATGGAGAAGATGCTAATGTATCCTGGAGAGAGGTCAATCTGGGTTTTGGCTTAGGGAGGGCTTGGGGAAGTAGAGTGAGGGGAGTCAAGGTGGATTTTTCTAAGCAGACAGGTGGGACAAAATAGGGGTATTATCTAGCCCTCTTCTGCTCTTATGTCTTATAATCTTGTAGTCTTTAGGTGAGATGTTCCTTATGTCACAAGAAATCCCCTAAGCTAACAACCTTTCTTCTTGCCATTTTATAAACTTTGTTTGACAAATGGCCTGCCCACTCTTGCCTAGCTGCCCACTCTTGCCTAGCTGCCCCCACCAAATGTTTTTGATGTGGAAAGAATATTCTCAGGGTCAACAGCGCCTTTAAGCATATGAATTAACAAATAACTATTTATTTACATAAAGTGTGTGTGCTACTGATTTTGGCATGTGCTCACTCTTTTTATCAGCATGGTGAGTTGGGCAAGAAAGACATTGGCTGGCATATGGCATATAGTATATGGTGGCTACCCAACAGAAAGACACCTGGCAGGAGCTTGTAATGTCCAGTCCCATGATAAAGGCTTTAAAAGCTCAAACTGGTTGTGTATGGTCAGTACTCTATCTATTCTAAAAAGCTGAAGGATGTGCTGTTTCATACAATCCTCCAATCCTTGGGCCCACATCACACCTGCAATAAAATTCATCCACTGTGTTGCTCATTTTTGTAGGTGCATTCATTTTGGCTTGATGGTAGCATTTCATTAGTGGAAAATATTACTTGCATTGCTACTGCATAGTGGCAGTGTTTAATGACTAGCTTCACCTATTGCTCCAGTTCTGGAGATAACTTATCCTTCCAAGGTAATCTGAAGTGTACTGGGCACTTTTCATATTCAAGGGTAACAGCCTTAGGTCACTGGGTGAGTATTTGGGATACACAGTGAGGAATGATCTGTTCTGAGTAACCATTATCCTACAGGATGTTTTTGATATGTCCTCCTCTGGAGTCAAGCTTGCACAGTGAGCAAATTGGTCAGGTCCTACTTACAGGATTACTGATGTAGTAAATCATACTGCATTCAGAGCTACAATGCAGGTAAAAGGACCATGTCCAGGTGTTGCATCATATCTGAATTAGACTGAAATGTGTGAAAAGGAAAAGAGTTCCCTGCTACATTTTCAACGACAGAACATTGACCAGTCACAGTCAGTTTGTCAACCACTCTGCACCTTTTTTGCCATGCAGTATTAATTGTTCTTTCCTCCGAAATTTGAAATTCTTGCAGCTGTCTTGACAAGTGTAAGATGAGAGCCTTCGACTGCATGTCTCCTCTTCAGCAATATTCAGATTCTGTGCTACCAAGCAACTATTAAACATAACAAATCATTCAGAGTTACAACATCTAGTTAAATACAACAGTGAATTGCAAAACTGATTACTACACTTCCTAGTTTACTTCTACAATGCCACAGATTCAAACTACTTACTGATGGCTAAATGTTGTGTCCAAAAGTAATTTAATGGAAATAGTTTGCAAGTGAACAGGTACAGAAACAAACAGGCAGTATTAGTATGGAAGATAGTTAAGCAAAACCAAATGCATGATGGAAATAAATGTGAGGAAAGATTTTCTTTATGTAAGCAACTCCTTGTACATCTATTCAAACATTAAGAGGTAGTAGGGATTTGATTCTGTGTATTATCTTCATGTTTCCACCAACAGCATGGTTATTGGATCATCCTAATGCAGGTTGGCTGGGAACAACTGGTATGAGATATGTAACGCTATGATGTACCAGGCTGACAGTTTTAGGACTCGATTAGGTGGAGCATACACTGTGCATTTCCAGAGGGTGATTGAGCTGATGGGGTAAATAGGAGGCAAGATATTTTTTGTGAGGTCACACAGAAGACAATCTCAGTTCAAACTAAGGCTGAGCTAATTCAGTCTGTAGTTTGTATGTTTCTCACATTCAAATATGTTCAAAATGCATGACAAATTTGGCAGAACCAGCGTGCAGATGTGACATGCATTTATGGCATTAACATCAGCATTGAATACAGTAAATTAAATCACCGAATGTATTAGTAACAACAAGGTAAAAATAAAACTATCTTTGTACACATTTCAATTTTATAATATACAGGATTACAGCGAGTGACATACAAAACTAAAAAGACAGTGATTTTTAAAAAATTCATTCACAAGATGTGAGTGTCACTGGCTGGGCCAGCACTTATCACCCATCCCTAGTTGCCTATAGGGCAATTAAAAGTCAACAACATTGCTATGGGTCTGGAGTCACATATAGGCCAGCCAGGTAAGGATGGCAGTTTCCTTCTCTAAAAGCCAGATGGGTTTTTTTTTTCTGACAATCTGCAACAGTTTCATGGTCATCCTTAGACCTTTAATTCCAGTATTTAATTGAGTTCAAATTTTACTATCTGCCATGGCAGAATTCAATCCAGGTCCCCAGAACATTACCTGGGTCTCTAGATTAATAGTCTAGAGATAGGCCACTGCCTCTCCTTAATGAAGTCAATTCAATTCTGCAGTGAGATTTATCCTTCATCAGAGCAGAGCTCAATATTGAAATACACCATGCAGCTGGACTTCAGTAGGTTTGTATGCTTCCATTTTGCACGTTTCCCCTTGGACACAGCCTGCATGATTGTTTCCCACGATGTATACTGCATACTAAAAAGTGTAAGCTATCACTGCGTCATATTGTGGGTATGAAGTACAAAGCTGAATTCTTTGTATTTCTATTTGAGATGATAGCTATTTTCCCGATTGCAGCAGACACTTTCCAAAGGAAGAACTACCAGACATGTGTATATAATCACACCACGAATGTTTCTAAATACTACATTAGCAACCAGTGCAATTTTGTATCATTTATGCTCATTATTTCTCTTGAAAAAAGTTTGTATAAAAATTACCAATGGAAATAGTTGATGGTCAGCCTTAGAGCTGATTTTGTTTAATATGTTAGTCATACAGGATTTAGTCATCCTTTAGAAAGTGCAAGAATTGAAATGGCCTTTGGTACTTTAAAATGTACTTGTCACGTTATCCCAGGCATTAGTCATATTAGGTTGCGAGCATAATGCACTTATCTCTTTTAAAAATATTCACTGTTGTGAAGACTTACATGGTATTGTCACCCAGTTCTTCATATAGGTTAGTTGTTGGGCCACTAGTCGATTTCCCTGCTGGCAAAGCCATCTGGATTCTCGCAGTCTTTGCACACTCTGCCTGTCGCCTATTCAAACAAAAGTAGACGATCAGAATCATTTCATCAAAGCTAGTCTCCTGCTATGTTCGATTCATTCAAGTGACTAATTTGTTTTGGTCAATGACAAAGAAAATGCCAAACTTTTCAAATCAACCATTTACTTTTACATTAAGTCGTTTTCCTGTAGCTCACATTTTGTCCTTATAAATTTTACTCAGCATACTGCACATAAGAACAGATTAATCCAATAATTGGCCAAGTTACCAAGAGCTCATTTGAATTGACTATGCTTCATTTTATAAGCAGGACACAAAAGGACACACAAATTTGCAAAATGTTCTACATCCATTTTATGGTACTTAAATTATTTTTTTGAAACTCAAAATTAGTAACATAGATACAAATCAAAACATAAGCCAATTTCTGAAAAAAAAATTATTCTTGATCCTGTGGACATTGCCAGCAGATCAACTCTTAGCACTTTCCTACATGTCTTCTTCCAGAAAGTTTGCTCATTTGTGAGCCAGGCTTTGATATCCATGAATTCATTGTGGATGATAGCAAAATTTCTGTAGATAGATTTCTGTAGCTTAACTGCACCCTTGTCTTCATCTTTGATGTCCCAGTCCCCAATAAAAGTATGATTCATTCTTAACCTGGCTCACCGTCTAGTGTAGTCCTGGTCTCCACTCCCCTAAGTCCACAGTTTAAAGACTTAAACAGATTGAGGACAACTGGTTTAGCCATTCACTGGACCACAAACAGCACTGTTTTGCCTGCCAACACTGTTCACTATTCCAGGATCATCCTGAAATATAGGAATAATATCTCTGCTCCTATGATGCTGCTTGGCCTGCTGTGTTCATCCAGCCCTGCACCTTGTTGTCTCGGATTCTCCAGCATCTGCAGTTCCTACTATCTAGGAATAATATCTATCTTCTTTTCTCTATCACAAACCATCTTCTTAGCTCTCTTCCTGGTCTCTTCAAACCTAGGAGCTCATGGGCTCTTTATCACTAAGATTAAGGCACCCTCCCCCCTCCCCACCCCCATCTTCTGCAATATAAACCAACATTTTCTAGCTATGATCAGTTCTTGGGAAGGGTCACCAGACCCGAAATGTTAACTGATTTTTCTTCACGGACACTGCCAGACTTGCTAAGTTTGTCCAGCAACTTTTGTTTTTGTTTATGACCAGCTACGTCTGACACACTCATCTCTTTCACTTACAGAACCTCCCGCAGCTGTGAAATTGCAGCTTTCTCTTATTTTACTCATATTGATCATTGTGCCTTCTCCACCAAGATGGTGGAGACCCATCTCATGCTCCCTTGACCCTATTCCCACTAAACTGCAAAATATACATCATTATGATGATATTGTTAACAAATCTCTGTTCAAGTGTTAGTCTGTCTCCTTTAAATCTGTCATCATTGCCCCTCATCTCAAAGCAATCCGGCAATGATTGCGCCAATTTTGAGAACAAACATCCTTTCTCCAACCTCCCTTTCCTCTCCAAAGTGCTGTAACGTGTTAAGATAACAGGGTGTGGAGCTGGATGAACACAGCAGGCCAGGCAGCATCAGAGGAGCAGGAAAGTTGATGTTTCGGGTCTGGACCCTTCTTCAGAAATGGGGCAGGGGAAGGGGGCTCTGAAATATATAGAGAGAGAGGGGGAGGCGATGAAAGAAGGTGGACAGTGGAGCAGATAGGTGGAGAGAAGACGGACAGGTCGAGGAGGCGGGGATAAAGCCAGTAAAGGTGAGTGCAGATAGGGAGTTGGGATGGGGGTTGGTGAGTGAGGAGGGAGGGGCGGGTAGGTGGGAGAGAAGATGCACAGGTCAAGGAGGTGGGGATGAGGCTAGTAGAGATGAGGTGAGTGTAGGTAGGAAGTGGGGGTGGGGGTGGGTCAGTGAGGTGGGAGGAACGGATAGGTGGGAGAAAAGATGGACAGGTCAAGGAGACGGGGACGAGCGGGGTGGGGGGGTGTGCTTGTCTTGGGATGAGGTTGGGGGAGGGGAGATTTTGAATCTTGTAAAGTCCACATTGAGACCTTTGGGTTGTAGGGTTCCCAGGTGGAATATGAGGTGCTGTTCCTCCAGTTTCCGGGTGGCATCGTTGTGGCACTGGAGGTGGCCCAGATGGACATGTTGTTCAAGGAGTGGGAGGGGGTGTTGAAGTGGTTTGCGACTGGGAGGTGCTGTCGTTTGTCACAAACCAAGTGTAGGTGCTCCACAAAGCGGTCTCCAAGCCTCTGCTTGGTTTCCCCGATGTGGAGGAGGCCACATTAGGAACAGCGGATACAATAGACCACATTAGCGGATGAGCAGGTGAACATCTGTTTGATGTGGAGGTTTTTTTGGGGCCTGGGATGGGGGTGAGGGGGGAGGTGTGGGGCAGGTGTAGCACTTCCTGCGGTTGCAGGGAAAAGTGCCGGGGATGGTGGGTCTGGTGGGGAGTGTGGAGTGGACAAGGGAGTCATGGAGAGAGCGGTCCCTACGGAAGGCAGATAAGGATGGGGAGGGAATATATATCCTTGGTAGTGGGGTCAGATTGCAGGCGGCGGAAGTGGCAGAGAATGATGCGTTGAATCCAGAGGTTGTTGGGGTGATACATGAGGACAAGGGGAATTCTGTCTTTGTTGTTATTGCGGGGAGGGGATGTGAAGGCTGAGGTGCGGGAAACGTGAGAGATGCGGTCAAGGGTGTTTTCGATCACTGTGGGGGAGGAAATTGCGGTCCTTGAAAAACGAGGACATCTGGGATGTCCGGGAGTGGAAGTCCGCAATCGGGGGAGTGCTCTCTCTGTGACTCCCTTGTCCGCTTCACAATCCCCATTAGCCCCACCACACCCTGGCACTTTTCCCTGCAACTGCAGGAAGTGCTGCACCTACCCCTACACCTCCCCCCTCACCCCCATCCCAGGCCCCAAAAAAACCTTCCACATTGAACAGATGTTCACCTGCACATCCGCTAATGTGGTCTATTGTATCCAGTGTTCCCGATGTGGCCTCCTCTACATCGGGGAAATCAAGCATACGCTCGGAGACTGCTTTGTCGAGCACCTACGGTCAGTTCGCAACAAACGACAACACCTCCCAGTCACGAACCACTTCAACTCCCCTTCCCACTTCTTGGACGACATGTCTATCCTGGGCCTCCTCTAGTGCCACAACGATGCCACCCGAAAACTGGAGGAACAGCACCTCATATTCCACCTGGGAACCCTACAACCCAAAGGTCTCAATGTGGACTTTACAAGATTCAAAATATCCCCTCCCCCAACCTCATCCCAAGACAAGTGCACCCGCTCGTCCCCACCTCCTTGACCTGTCCGTCTTTTCTCCCACCTATCCGCTCCTCCCACCTCACTGACCAACCTCCATCCCCCACTTCCTACCTACACTCACGTCACCTCTACTAGCCTCATCCCTGCCTCCTTGACCTGTTTATCTTCCCTCCCACCTACCCGCCCCTCCCTCCTCACGGACCAACCCCCGTTCCAACTCCCTACCTACACTCACCTTTACCGGCTTTATCCCCGCCTCCTTGACCTGTCCGTCTTCTCTCCACCTATCTGCTCCACTGTCCACCTTCTATCATCGCCTCCCCATCTCTCTCTATTTATTTCAGAGGCCCCTTCCCCTCCCCCATTTCTGAAGAAGGGTCCAGACCTGAAACATCAGCTTTCCTGCTCCTCTGATGCTGCCTGGCCTGCTGTGTTCATCCAGCTCCACACTTTGTTATCTCAGACTCCAGCATTGGCAGTTCCTATTATCTCTCCCTGTAACGTGTTGCTGTTTCTTACATTCCTTTCCAACTTTCCTAAATCTCCCCGCATGAATCCCTCCAAACAGTTTTCTACCCCTGCCATACTACTGAAATGCATGTAATCTGACTGTGACAAAGGTGAACAATCCCTCCTCTTACTGCTCAAGTTCTCTACAACCTTTGGCATGGTTGGTCAAACTATCCTTCTCCATCACTTTTGATGCATTTGATGCCAAGGTGATGTAGTTGTCCCAATATTGAACATTCTTCTATCTTTGTAATATCTTTCATCTTTGTTATGTCTGCTCATCTGCTCCTGAAGTGCTTATCCATGCCTCTGCTGATTCTTGACATGGTGATACATCTGAAAAGCTGATGCTCAAGGCTTAAAAGAACTGAAACTACTCTTTATCCATCATGCCCGTGCTCAGTGATCTAACCTGTTACCTGATCAAGCAACATCTCATTTTTAAAATGTTCGTCCTTCTTTTCAACTCCCTTCATGGCCTCACCTCTCTGTGTCACTTAGCCTCTAGCCTCAAATGCCTCACCTAAGTCTGGCCGCTTGAAAGTCCCTGACCTTGACGCACCATGTCTGATGAATGCACTTTCATTTGCCTATGACCTAAGCTGTACAACTTCCTCCCTAAAGCCTCTAACTTTCTTCCTTTCAGACATGACTTGAAATCTCTCTTCAACCAAGGGTCAACACACCACCCAGCAGTGGCTGTATTTTGCATTTATGACAGCAGTACAGTGCCCTGATATCTCTAAGTGAGGGGGTAAAGCGCAAAAAGGAAAGATAAGGCAGGGCCGATGTGAGCAACCAAGACTTCTGACTTCATGTGGTCACTCCGATTTTATGCATTGAATCAGACTTTGGGCCACGAGACACAGCAACATTTCTCATCATATATTACCAAGTGTGCCTTATTAACCACCCATCCTACCCCTATGGCATCCCTCCCAACTCATTGAGGTCCCACTTTCCCAAGTGCCGTTCCTGGAACAATTCACCACTCAGCAGATAACCGCTGAAAGACCAGCATTCCCTATGCCTATGCCATCTTTAGAAGACCTTAGAGCACCCAGGCATTGGGGACTGTCAGTCTGAAGCTGCCCTGTATGGTTCCTGGTATTTGACTTGGACATGGCAGGCAGGGCCCTGGAGGGCCTTCTGGGCAGGATGGTCCAGATGCAGAGTTGACATCTTACTTCAGGATCAGCAATGGAGGCCATGACCCCAGACCGTGCCAGTCTGGTCCAAGATTGCCACCTGGGTCAGTGCGGGTTTGGCCCCCTGGACGAATGCCCAGTGCTGCACAGGAAGAAATACTACAACATTCTCTATTTTGCCAGTGTGTAAGTGCCACCATCTTCTTTTTGATACCACACACTCATTCCCTCTCTGCTGCTGTAGCAAAGCAAAGTAAGGCTCATGTTCTCTCAATCTCTCTATTGCCTGCATCATCTTCCCTCCCTCACTTTCACCCACCTAACCCCTAATACCACTAACTCCGCATGTCCTCTGCATTGCCTACTCACTTTGCCAAGACACTTCCCCACCTGTATCAAAAATAACAGGATGTGGCACCCACTTTCATCTCCTTTATTATCCACTTCTGTCTTATTCCAGGAGGAAAACTACCTCTAATAGGGTGGAAAAGTCAAGCTGGGTGGTTGCTGCCCACTATTCAGCTCCTTTCCCCTTACAAGAAGAAAAACTTGATTCATACCATTCCAAGTGGCTGACTGATGGTGTCCAAGCACCAGGCCTGGTATTGGAGACTGTCCTTGACTTATTGTGCCTGGGCCTCCCGAACAAAGGCTATCTCCCTTGGCTTGACTGAGATTGCTGACAACAATGACCAACTCCCTAGCTTTGTGTTGTGCTAAAAGAAATACAGAAATACTTGACAAACACAGATTTCTGGAGAAATTCATCGGGTCTGGCAGTATCTGTGGAGAGAGCAACAGGGTTTACGTTTCATGTTTGGTATGAATTTCATCAAAGACACTGCCAAATTTCTCCAGCATCTTTGTGCTTGTTTCAGAATTCCAGTGGCCACAAATATTTTTTTTCTTTTGTTAGAGCAGTACTCTAAGCCTGGTGTTTCTAACTGAGGGAGTAAAAAGGCAAGACAAGGCAGGGCTGGTGTGAGCATCTCGGCAGATTCAAAGTGAGAGACCAAGAAGAGAGGAAGTGGAGAGCCTGGAGATGCAACCTAGTCCAGTCCATGAGCTGGGTGTGTTCCCCTGAGCACACAGTGTCCTTACATAGAACAGAGAACAGTATAGAAAAGGAACAGATCCTTTGGCCCACCATGTCCGTGCTAACCATGATGCCATTCTAAACTAATCCCATCTGCCTGCACATGGTGCGTATTCCTCCATTCTCTGCCTGTTGACCTGTCTATCTAAATGCCTCTTAAACGTTGCTATTGTATTTTTTCCCCTAGCAGCATGCTGCGGGCACTTATGTGTAAAGAACTTGCCTTGCATTTCTCCTTTAAACCTATGCCCTCTCATCTTAAACCTATGCCTCCTAGTCCTTGCTGCAACATTGCAATGATATTTGCTGGTACAGCCTGTGGTGTAATATTGAAATACAAAAGCATGCTGTAAGTGTATTAGAGATGTGTCACAAGGATTCTTACAAACTGGCACATGTCAGATGCCAATTTCTGTGGACTTGGAGTGTGTGTGGTTGGTGCAGATGAAGGGTGCTATGAGACACTGGTGTCTGGTGTCCTTTGGAGCAAACAACGAGTTGAAGTTGCCTGGTACCCATTCTGACTTCCATGTCAAGAATTCTCCATGTCTATCTTGCTTGGCACATTTGGTAAGATAGGAAACTGAATATTAATGAGGTTCATTGGACTATTAATGAAGTATTTAGAAGTTATAATCCTCCTTAATTGGCAACTTGCTCTGCTTAGTTGGAAACTGGCCTTAAGGCCCTCTTGTGGCCTGAGTTCAAGTTTTATCTACTCCAGAGGTATGTAATGTCATCTCTGAATGGGTTGAATTGAATAATATCAACTGGATGGACTACCTTTGTCTTTGGGCCATCTTGTAGCACTGAAGTAGTGTCCCTACCCCTGGACTGGAAGGCCGAGGTGAATGTCTCACCTACTTCAGAGGTGTGTAATAACAACTTTGAACAGGTTTATTAGAAAAATACATTAATCAATAACACCTCCCGGTTGCTAACCATTTTAACTCCCTTCCTACTCCCTGGCTGGCATGTCCATCCTGGGCCTCCTCCAGTGCCACAATGATGCCACACGCAAACTGGAGGAACAATACCTCATATTCCAACTTGGGAGCTGACAGCCTGATGGCCTGAACATAATATTCACCAGTTTTAAAACCTCTCCATCCCCGGCCTCATCCCATGTCTAACCCTCCCTCTCATCACCTATCGCCATCCCACCTACCTTCCCTCAGCCCCACCTCTCTTTCCTCTATTTACTTCCCAGCTCCCTTCCCCCTCCCCAGTCCTGATGAAGGGTCTAGGCACAAAATGTCAAGTCTCCTGATCCTTTGATGCTGTCTAAATTGAAGTTCTACAGTTTAAAAAGAAGGTTGATCAGCAAAAGAAGTTATTACAAGTTTGTTTAGTTTCTAAGCTTAAGGTGAAATAAGGAGGCCACATGACCTGTTCTGCTGTCTGGGTAGTGTTAAAGATCAAACAAAAGCTTAGATTGTTCACTGGGGAAAAATGGAAGGTATTTACACTTGGAAAAGTTGAGTGGTTGTGAGTGCACCCAGTGATGGTATCAAACATCTTCAGGTTAGATGCAGAACAGCTTAGATACAGAGTAAAACTTTTTCTACACTGCCTCAATAATTGTGTTAACAGTGGGGACTCCACTGAAAATCTCTAAAGTCCCAGAATAGTATTCAGAATGACAGGTTGCACTTTAATTGTCCACTTATTTCCAAGATGAAAGAAAGCTAAGCTCTCAAGGATAACTAATTAGCATTTCTACTAGGACACAGGGCCCATGTGATCAACATTGCTACAGAAAAGGATGCAGAGGGAGCCATTGTAAAAAAATACATTACAGGCTTTCCTAGCAAATCACAGTTTAATTTAACTTTGCAAAAATCTGGGAGGGAGGAAGCAGCTCAAGAGCAAAAAGGATTTGACTGTTCATTGTGCAGGAATGCAACTGAAACACACACTTGCATTAAAGAACCACATCTGTGGGAAGTTTAAATACAGTTGAAGAATTCTCCATGTAAAGAAAGCCTCTTTTGAACAATAGTTCTCAGATTACAAGTTACCAAACTGCATAAAAATAAGAATACATCAAGGACAGTATAAGTTATACATGTGAAATTCGTTTTTCATTTGGGCTAAAACTAAAATAGGATTTTGATCTGTGGTTTCAATTACAAGTTGCCTGCAGAGATAATGTTTAGTTCATATTGTTTAGAGTAATTTGTTAAAGTAAATGTTCGTACGTTCCAAGCCAATTGGGATAGAAACCAAAACACACCTATCTTTTCTTTGTGGAGAAAGTTTATATTTTCTAACCAACCTGTTCAGTGATGTTAATATACACCTCAAGAGCAGACAGGGCTTGAACCTAGGCCTATAAATCAGAGGTAGGGTCACTACCACTGTGTCAGAAGGGACTCGTAGTGAGAGTTATTGACCTGTTCAATCTTACCCTTCTCATCCCTGAACCAGTGTCATGGCTGCTCTCTATGTATCCGTGCTTAACCAATTAATGCCCACTACCTGTTTCTCTCAACCTTAATTAATACATTTATAAACCTTAACCAGATGTAACTGAAAGATATTAAAAGATGGAATCTTGACATGTCATTCTTTCAGCTATCAACTAGAAGAGTTAATTGTCTCTTTAGGGATTATGACAAGGTTATAATCACCAAGTTGTACGTAAAGCATAACAAGATTATTAATTTAAAGTGAATGAGGAAAGCTGCACTGGAAAGATGAATGAGTGAGAAGTTGATTTAGTTCTGATATTAGAGAAACATTTTACTGAAAGGATGACAGATGTTTGGATAAATCTATGAAGAACAAAAGCAAGGTAAAATCATTGCGATGATACATCACAATACGAACCCCCACAAAACTTAATTTGCATTCTTTATGTGCCTTTGATTGTCCTGCGCCCTGCTTCTCTAGCTTTTGGCCTCTTCCACAATGTGCTCTACCCCTAGCAAATCAATTGCTGCTTTCTACCTGAAACCAGAGAGTAGCATTCAAATGGATCCCAGCAGTTAAAATTTGCTGGACCTCTAACAAAGACCCCAGCTTGGGAATCTGTTATGCTGAAATTTAAAACCTGCCCTGATGACCTGAATAGAATTGAAAATCAGACAGGCTATAAAACTCCCAGCCTAACCATTACAATAAGTTAAAATACTTCAGTAACCCACAATACCTAATCCTTGATTCGAATTACAATGTATATTCTTTGCATCATTGTTTATGCATTCTGCACTTTACAAGTAGCTTTAAGTACATAACAAAAGCTGCTTTAAAATTAGTGTGTTTGTGTTGATTAAAGAATACAATAATCTGGTCATTTCCTGAGTCGTTATGTAACAGGAAACTTTCACTGGCATTCACTCATTGCACTTCATATCAAAATCATAAAACGTCTAGTTAGTTATATTCTATTGGCTGTAAGCCAATCACATCAACAAACCGGAAATGAAATGGCTCTTTACACGTCGCAAAAGCAAATGTTTGTTAGTTTCCTTGATTTATGATGTAATTTATTACTTATCAATGTAGGTTATTTAGCTGTTCATGAAATTTTATGTGAACTCTAAATTGTCGGTTTATGAAACATTAGGTTAAAATATAATCAGATGTGTAATCATGTGTTCCCCGGCTGCGATGTTACATCTCAGAGTAATTAGATTGCTTATTAAATTGATCATTATGTAAGTCATAAGTATTTAAGGTTAACATATAACCAGAACATGCTCTGATAAATACAATAAACCATATGAAAATAAAAGCTATACTTACTCTTTAAATCTGATACAATGCAACAAGAAAAAAAAGAAAAACAAAATTGTTAACTGGTATTTGTTTTTTTAGTTGAAAATTCATTTCAAAATGTGCGTGTATTTCAACGACCACACTGTAGACCTAAAATATGATTTTACCAATAGGCATGAATGTCGGTTGGAGACAGAGCTGGAACATAGACCCGTGGTTATATAATCTGCAATCATCAATATTAAGAGTTTGAGCTTGCAGAGAGAGAGAGAGAGAGAGTCTCATCATTTCAGCTCTCACTTTTAAGATAGCATTTTAATCAGTTCAATTAGTGACGCAGAGCCAAGGACAAGAAAATAACACAACTATTTTGTTTTGTCATTGAGCACAGCATTAGGATATTTGCAAATAATCCAAATTCTGCTCTGCAAATTCTTTCAAGTCAGAGAGCTAACAGGCAATTCTCAATGATAAGCTTCATTCAAAATTCTATTGCCAAATAACACAACACAGACGTACAAAAAATGAACAATATGTTGCTATCTGCAAAATGCTTTGTAAACGAAATGAAATGATTTTGAACAAAATCAGCTCCGATGCTGGTGAGAGAGTCCGGGATAATTTGATGTTCAGTGAGTGGCATAATTTATGAAGAGCTAGAAAATGTGAAGAAATAAAATTACTTGAAAATACAAAGGGCCAGACTAAGTGATTGTATAGTCCGACAAGGCAATTTGGAAATGGAGCTTATGTAGCTAAAGAGTGAATGAACACAGTCTTGAAGCCATCTGCTCTGGGATGTTTCGGGGTGAAAGCTTGTATGCAACATCATTGCAGGCTCATTGCTGCATGCCTCTGCTGAGGAGTTGCATCCTTGTGAAGACTCAATAAGATCACCTGGAACTGAGGATTGACGCATTTAAACCAATCTGGGCAGTTTTATGAGGGATTAATAAGTAAATATTCTACATTAAACCGTCAGTACCTGGTGCATGGTGTAAACAATGGTGCATGGAAATGTCATTACTTCAAAATTCCTTCAAAGTCTCTTGTATGTACACTACGTGTACAGCACTACATGTGCTGGGCACGTCATCAGCACAACATGAGACTCTCCAAGCAGGTCCTCTACTCCCAGCTCCAAAATGGCAGGCAAACAGAGGACTTGTGGATATCCTCAAGGTCTCAGTGGCAAAGTATTCTCACAGACACCTGGGAATCACTGGCCCAAGACTATCCAAAATGGAGGAAAAACATCCGGGAAGGTGTTGAGTACCCCGAGACTTGCCATTGGGAAAAAGCTGAAAACGGGTGAAAGGAGTGTGCTGCCACCCCAACACCCCACCCACCCCTTCCTCTGGCCCCCTTCTGCCCCGAGTGTAATTAGAGCCTGTGGTAGCCGCATCAATCTGTACAGCCACCTATGGGCTCAAATTGAGAGTGGGAGAGAGTCATCCTTGTCTGTGATGAACTGCCGATGAACGTAGGAATGACAATTCCACTATTGTTGTTGGGTGTTATTCCTAGAATTCCCTCCCTTATAGTATTGTGTCAGCTTCTTTGCCACACAAACTGCAATGGCTCAAGAACTTGGGACACCATAACTATCTTGTTTGCAGATCAGGATGGAAAATAATTGCCACGTCATAAAGTGAATTTGAAAGATGTATTTGTACATTTGCCATTACTACTTCATGCAAGTTCTGTTTATGTTCCTTGGAAATTTGACTATGGGTCAAAGTTTTAAATGGCCGCGGAAATAGATGGTGTCATTTACAGATGGTGTCATTCCATTTGGAGATGACTACATTAAACACGTGGTTCAAGATGGAAAAAATTCAATGAGAAGTGGAAAAGGCCTGATTACAAACAACTGAGAGACACAGTGAATAAATATTAAACATCATTTCCATTTTCTGTTGTTTTGAGGCTTGTGCAGACAGAGAAAGGAACAGGCAATGGCTCCCTCCCGAGCTTTGCTACACTCAGTATTTAAAGCTAAAAGATACTGGATATAAAACCAACCGGTAGCAGAAAGAAGTCTGATTGTCTGACAACTAGACTGCCCTATGCAGATACAGAACTGGAAGTGAATGGGCTTGTAATGGCTACTGCCATATTATGGGTCAATTATAAACATGCCAGTTTTGTGGGCAATGGCTATCCCATCATAAGTGGTCAGAAAGCCAAGTTAGCACCTTGAGACCATTTTAAGGTGACTGTGTAGATGATGGCTATAATTTTCAAGTCAGCAATTAAGCCCAGACAGTTTTGGGAGGCTGACTTTCAACAGAAGATCAGGATCCCAGCGCTTCATCTATTATTTCCAAACCTCAACACTTGCCACATGGCTACAAATGCAAAATAACCACAAGGGTGGCCATAGACTACCCTGTGCAATGGCTGAAATGGGGTCAAAGGTGGTCCCATCTTGTAAGCCGCTTAAGCTTTGACAGTCCATCCTTTATCCTTTATCAGCTGTTGAGAGTGAACCCTGGACACTAATTGGCTTACACTTCAAAAATCAGGTGGCAGGCATGATGTCACGTAAGGTCTTGACCATAAAATGCACCATCGAGCCTCTCACCCCAGAAAGAAATTTCAGCCCCATAGCTCCATATGTTCCAACACTGTACTAGCTGCGAGGAGTTAGATCTCAGATCCTTCTTACAGTGGGCCAGTTTCACTTAATAATATTCCATCCAGACAGCTGTAGAGAAACTGGGAACCAACCTGTGGAAAATTGAATTTCGTTCAACTGCACACGGCAAGTCAAACTGTACTCTATCGCTGAATCAACCCGCACCGATTAAAGGTGACATGAAGGAAAAATAATCCAATTCAAGGCATAATGAATTAAATCACATGTATTAGTTAACATGTAAAAGGTATATACTCACTGTCTGTAGGTAACCATAACTATCAGAATTGCAGGTAAACAGCAGAGGATGATAATGATAGCCAGAGCCAGTAGAGCACCTTCTGTGTAGCCCACAGCTTGTGCCTGTTTCTGTACATTTGCCACCACGCTTGGCGTGCGGATTTCCAGAATACGACCTCCTTGTCCCAAGTAAGGCTGAAAGTCTTTGTTTATATCTAGAAGTTTGCCGTCTAGAAATCTTTATCAATCATAAACACAAGTTGAAGAGTAAGATGTAATTTTTAAAATCCGCAGTTAATATTAATCTTAACTTGGCTTAAAAATTTCTCCTTGCATGGTCCTGCCACTTACTGATGATGGCTTTGTGGAATCTAAGGGTGACTGATAATAGCACGCTGAATTATGACAAATTTGTAAGGAGTGGGCAATGTATGCTAGCCTTGGCCAGGGACTCCACATTCACAGCCCATGCATGAATGGAAAGTACAAGTGATGTTATCATGGAATGGTGAAATGGGAAACAGACAGTACATAAAGCTTAATTTAGAGGTGTGTAAGGTGATACATTTTGGCAAGAATAATTATGAAAAGTCATATGAGCTAAATGGTACTACTTTAAAGAAAATGTAGAAACATAACAACCAGACATATAACCATTTGGTACTTGCAAAATGCTTGTAATACAATAAAATATCCTGAGGCAATTTACTGGAGGGACAACAGTCCCTTTTAGAGCAGATTCTAAGCATCTCTTGTGGCAGAAATTGCTGCTTTGAACATTTTATTTTGCTTCTCCAGTTTAAATGAGCATCCCTGTCATCACTGTTCCTAAATAATTGCAAAGAGTATCCTCCACAAGTCTCATTAATGAGCATATAGGAGAGAACATCAACAGTGCTTTGAAACTGGGCAAATGTTATGTGACAGTGGTTTTCCAACAATTGGCAATGTACAGTACATTTAAAATATTGCTATGCATGTCTCATTAAAAAGAGACTGAATCCCAGTGAAGGGTGTCCAGTATGTTGAAATGTTTACAGATGAATGAACAGTCACACAATTCTCAGAGGTCCATTTTGGAAAGGCTCCCTCATTTGACTGGACATAGATTATCACTTGGAAATTTTGTTGAATGTTGAGATTGCACATTTGATATGAAATGCTTATTGGACAGACTAATGCATTAAGAAATATCAGAGACTGTCTCTCCCACTTCTAACACTGCAGGGGAGACTTAAATACATGCGGGCATAGCAAAATGATAATCTGTGCTCTGTTTTAGGAATAAGAGACTGATAATAAGGGATAACAGCATATGAACACAGTACATTTAGAATAACATTCAGCTGTTGCTATTTTAATTAAGTTATTCGCTCATTAAATGGGAAAACATCCCTACTTGAATAATTAACAAAGGAACATCACCTAAATGTGTTAGACAGTCGTACATTAATACTCACCAACAAAAAGATCTAACTTAAAGTTTTTGAGATTTGTAGCTCCGGTTTTGGATGAGGTTGTAGACATGCTCGCCGAGCCGGTGTGCTTGGTTGCAAATGTTTCGTCACCATGCTAGGTAACATCATCAGTGCGCCTCCGGTGAAGCATCAGTGTTCTGTCCCGCTTGTTATTTATATGCCTCGGTTTGTTGGGGTGATTGCTATTACTTCCGGCTCTGTTCCTCAGTGGTTTATACGCAGGGTCTAATTCAACGTGCTGGTTGATGGAGTTCCATCAACAAACACATTGAATTAGACCCTGTGTACAAACCTCTGAGAAACAGAACCGGAAGTGGTACCAAACACCCCAACAAACCGAGGCATATAAATAACAAGCAGGACAGAACACTGATGCTTCACCGGAGGCGCACTGATGATGTTACCTAGCATGGTGACGAAACGTTTGCAACCAAACCCACTGGCTCGGCGAGCATGTCTACAACATCAGATCTAACTTTTCTGTTCAATCTAGATTTACCCTCACAATAAAAAGCCTTTGCTACCTTTCAGCAGCAAACAAATACGAGTAGCACAAGTTAATTTTAGATAAACATGAAAACTGAGCAAATTTTGAAAGAATTAGCACTGCAATATACTCACTTGAAGAGCTCATTCCTTGAAATAGCTCTGTTTGTCAAAGGGTCAATAGCATAAACCATCAAATCTGACTTGGAATAGTCCTCTTCCTGAAAGCCATCGCCATGTCTGCGAGGACCGATGGATTCCACTACAACCTTTGCACCAGGAATCTGATCCTGTACGTAACGTTCCAGAATTCTGATAGCACAAAATTTAATAAAAAAGAAGTGGGCGACAGAGTATACCACTTCATATGTACATAGTTGACACTCATGCTCATGTCTCACTGTTGGAGATATGACAGCTGGATAGTCAATGTTTATTTTAAATCAACCTGTTTGAGTATGCTATAACTGTGGCAGGTGGGACTTCAACCGTGACATATGCAGATGTAAGGACACAACCACTGTGCCACAAGATCCTTGGAGGTTCAGTGTTTAGATACTAAAGCCACTCTACCTATTAAAGCTACTTGGAGGCAGGGGATGTTGAGCAGGTCTGCATGTTAAAGCGAAACCCTCAAAGAAATCACAATGCAAGACCTGCGCTTCATTTAAGTATCCCTGTGCTCTCGCCAGCCCGAAACCAGCAGGACTAAAGACAGGGTGGTTGACTTGGGAACATTACAATGCCAGGGACTCAAAGGAACGACGCTTGATGGAACTGGGGGTTGGAGATTGAGAACACTACTGCTCTTCCTGGGTCACAAGGAACTCTCTCAAAGGTAAGCTTGGAAAACTGATCAGTCAATGCCTCCTGCCACCATTTGGCTTTTAGATTTCATACCATGTGGGTCTTTGTGGATCTGCAGTAAAATCATATTGTGGCACAAATCCTAACATTTTGAATTTAGTGGCTGGTGATGGGAAGCACACAGCAGTCAAAAGTCAGTGAAGGTGAAAAGGCAGAAGCCGTGACTGGCCAATCTGGTCTTAACCAAGCACTGATGAGCAAGAACATTAAAGCTGAGATTCAGGTGTCTCTCTATTATATAGATTCACTTTGACAGAGATGAAGGTCAAATCTCAAAAACCGAATAATTACATATAATTTTAAAATAAACAGCAGTGATTTCCTCAACAATGCTTATACAGTATTAATAAACCCAAATAAAATTTGTGGGTGCATTCAGTGGCTAAATTTGCAAAGGATTAAAATAAAACTATGAATTTAGCACACGTGTATAATATGCTCTCTCACATTCTCTAACATTATATAGTTATCTGGGTAGTAAAAATGACAGATGACTGTTAATTAGCCCTGGTTTAACAAGGATAATTGACTGTTAACAGTTAGCCTGATACTACTGGAAAATGTATCTTTAAAACACAGGGGTCTGGAAACAGAAACCTTTAGACTGTGGGATTAATAAGGTTGACTACGACTTGACCATGACAGAGAGCTAACATGGGGACTGCAACAACCTTTGAAACTTCTCGAAGAGGAGTGAGGAATATCAGCAAGCTTTATCATGGAAGTGAAGGACACATATTGTTATCATCGCCTTTAAGTCATTTTGAAAAATTTCGGTTATTGCATGGATGTTAAAAAAATTCCAGATACAGTAAACCCTTCTTGAGAAATAAAAGAATTAAAATGCATTTCAGGTGGAGATGTCAAAGATAGCAATGAGGAAGAGTTGCCTTCACACAAGTCAGTGAATGCATTTTCAATTCTCTCCTTACTCTCGACATGATGAATATAGGTGGGTGAGAAAATTAACGGTAATGGTTACATGTACTTGCAGAAAACAGGATTCTTATGCAGTGAAGCATGAATGTGGAAAAATAATTAGTCCAATACAAAATAGTGGGGAATTAGATTTTCTGTACAAATGCCAAATGCTGGTCGGAAGTATATGACTCACAACATTATATCTAATTTTACACTGATCTCATTTTTAAGTGCACAATTTCCAAAAATAAGAAAGGCAGGTACATTCTTTCATTAGGAATATTTGACTGACTGCACAGTAACTGTATGATAAACACAAAAGGAAGTATAGACGAGGATTAAATTTGAGGGACACATAGTAAACAGTATTTGATGCTCAAATACTCAGCCAGTGAAAAATGACGTTATGAAATCGCATGTTCATCAGCAGAGATTGAGCACAAGTATGATACAATTCAAGTACTGAATTCAGATTATTCAAACACTTTCAATATGCTTCATCCCTAATACTGCCATAACATGTGCTGCTGACCCATTTGCTGATGCTGTCACACACACCGATACAGTCGGACACATTGACACTGCCCTTCACTCCGATACTCTCCCACAACCCCATTTCGCCCTGCGCTCCGACACTCTTCCTGCACTCCGATACTCTCCCACAACCCCATTTCGCCCTGCGCTCCGACACTTTTCCTGCACTCCGATACTCTCCCACAACCCCATTTCGCCCTGCGCTCCGACACTCTTCCTGCACTCCGATACTCTCCTCATTCCGATTGTGCCTGATTAAAATAATTGGCCCACGTACTGATCCTGCTCAACACACCCATACTGCTCCCACGTTGCTAACGTACCACAAAGTAATACGGTCCTCCGCCTACTGATGCTGTCTGACATATTGATACAGACCCACATATTGATACTGACTCATGCTAGTAATACCGCATAGGCCAATATTGTTCCAACATGGATACTGCCCTCCAGGTTGATGCTTTCTAACATATTGCTCAGACCCCATGTACTGAAATTGCCTCACATGTGGTTACATGGCCCACATGCTGATAACATCTAACACACCAATTTTGCCCCAATGCAGAGATAAATTTCCTCATTTTAATACTGCCCAATGCACAGATACACCAGCCCTGTCTCACATGCTGATACTGTCCTACATGCTAGTTCCACCCAACACACACTGATCCTGCTGCAGGAAGCATTACTGCCTCCACGCAATGATACGACTCACACAGTCTCACACAGTGATATTGCTCCATGTGCCGGTACTGTCCAGCATATTGAATCTCTCTCACACCAATACTGCTCCAAACACTATAACTGTCTCTCACATTGATACTGCTCACACACCAATAGTGAGTTACATGCTGATACTATCCAGAATGCTAGTACCGCCCCACATGCTGATACTGCCCTGTGTGATGTTACTGTCCAATATGTTGATATTGCCCCAAAACTCTGACACTGCCCCCACACGCTGAAGCTGGTCCACATGCTGATAATGTCTCAAATGATCATACTTTGGCAGGAGTGAGAATGAGGGAGAAGAAAGCAAGGTGATCTTACTGTCAAACCAGATACCAAAACATAAAGAGAGAGGCAAAGAAAGGTTGGATCAAGAGTTCTTTTCCTTGGCACAAGCTTGAGATTTCTTATTGCTCACACATCGTTCATCTTCACTAAATTATTTCTGGCTATCTCTATCTTTTTCTAACTTTGCCTTTCTTTTGTTGTCATTTGTCCTAAATAGAGGCGCTTAGCTATATGTTTGAGTATGAAATTACCCACTTCAATCTTCACTCCAGTTTGTTCTATTGTATTCCTGATAACTGCTTATGGGCTTGGTTTTTTTTGTGGACTTGGTGTTCGTAGTCAATCCATATCCTAAGGTTTTAGACTTTACTTGATTGATGATATATTTGTATAGCCTCATCTGTTTCGGCAAGTTGCACTGTGTCATCAGTATACTGCAAGCTTGTTGTGTTCTTAGCTCCAACTTTTATAGCTGCAAGTACACCTAAATCTCCTGAAATCTTGTTGTGTGCAGATTTAATAATTTTGGTGACATTCAATTAGACATGTCTTATTGTCCCGCTCCTAGTCTGAGGCTCACTAGTTGCATCCCAACATAGACTTTAGATAAATCTCACGTCTTTACTGTCAAAGCTACATTGCATGAACACATCTATTAACTTTCAGCAAAATGCAATCAAACACTTTTTCATAGACTATATGCAGCATATATAAATGCACTGCTATAATACAAGCATTTAGCAACTGCAACTTATCTTTATACAGCACCTTGAGTCTAGTAAAATGTCCCAAGGCTTTTAATGCACTTGACACAGTTGTGTAAAATACCTGCATTGAAATATGAACTGATAGAAACAGATGATCCTGTGTTTAGAGTGGCAGACGAAATAATTTCATAAACAGTTTAAAATTTTCTTAAATTAACAATGGCCAGCAGAAGTCTTAGGTTTGTATTGTTGAAGCTAATTTATCCACTGTCTTTCAGGGAAGTAAATCTGCCACCTTCATCTATGTGGAACTCCAATCTTTCAGAAATGTGATTTTCTCTTAACTGCCCATTGAAATTGCTGTGATAGTCACTCAGTTGAAGGGCACTTAGGAATGGGCAATAAATGCTGGCTTTGTCAGAAACAGCCGCATTGCATTGAAAGAATTCTTTTAAAATCTACTTGAAAATTAATGCTGATCAGAGTAACTTCTTTTGCATTTTATATGCAAATTTCATTTTGCAGATCTCAAGAACAATTAAAATATCAGAAATAATTTCAAAGAAACTGACACTTCCATCAATCAGACAAATACATTTTACATTTTAATGTACAAAAACAATACAATACCCAATCAACTGATCCTTGTTCTGTTCCACCAGGGTAGGTGGGACATTGGAAACAATCACTTGCATATCCAATTCATTGACGACAGATACCTAGAGAAAGGACAAGTACAATTCTGTTGGTTCTGACAGTTTGTTAATGCAGACAAATTGGCTACCTGTTCCATTTATTTAAGGAACAACTGCTTCAGCTGTTTTTTAAATGCTGCACAAACCTCACCATTTATAGAGCATGATATTGGACTCAACAAGTTAAAATCATGTCCTCAAGAGTTTCCCATTTCCTTATGGGAGCTTCAGATGTACAAGAGAGATTGCTGCCTTTTTCTGCACTTAAATTTGGTACTTGCGAACGTTTAACTTGGATATAGATTGTTACCACACTAGGTTCAACAACACATTCTGATTAATATAAAGTATGTTTGGAGACATACATTTTGTATTCAGGGTATATGACAAGCACCTGCTACTTTTTGGAACAAACAGGAGCTAAAAAACACTCTTTTACATAAAAAAGAAAGAACTTTTCTTGCATAAGTGAAAAGCCATCACCATATTTAAGAGTTTCCAAATCAAAATCTACACCTACAGAATTTTTGCTTCCGATTAAGGATATGCTGTTCATTGAACTGTCTGAAAAACTCAGGGGTAGGTTAGCAAATCCATAGCTTAGGAATCCCCAATTGTGATCAGCAACATTGTGAGGTTTAACCATGGTGACTGCACAGTGACTCAGTGGTTAGTGCTGCTGCCTCACAGTGCCAGGGATCTGAGTTCAATTCCAGACTGATGTGACTGTAAGTTTGGAGTTTGCACATTCTCCCTGTGTCTGTTTGGGTTTCCTCTGGGTGCTCTGGTTTCTTTTCACAGTACAAATATATGCAGATTAGGTGGACTGGCCATGCTAAATTGCCTATAGTGACCAGCGATGTGCAGGCTATGTAGCTTAGCCATGGTAGCTATGGGTTTATGGGGACAGGATAGGGGGCCTGGGGCTGGAGCTGGGTGGAGTGCTCTTCAGAGATCAGCACAGACTTGATGGGCTGAATGGCATCTTTCCGCAGTGTAGGGATTCTATGATTCTAACCAGCCACACCATGGGAGCTTTCCGGTAGAAAACACTGAATAAGCTTCTCACTGTCTGCTCATTGAAGATTATCTTGCATTCCATGAGTTGTGTGGTTAAGGGGAATGTCAATCCCATTTACAAGCCATGGCCCTCAGCAACAACAGTGGACAGTGTATTCACCAGAGGATCAAACACCAATTATTGTTTCATAATATCAAAATCGAATTTCTTTTTCCCAAAAGTAGACTTAAGTAAGCTAATAGGTTTCAAGTCAAGTAATGCTAAACAAGTAAACCAACCAAAGATTATCTGATTGTAATCATATTCAATAGAAATGTATGGCAGACAATTGCTGAGTGTGACCTTGAGTCATATGTCTCACGCAGTTTTCTCCCAGATTGTAATGTTTTATCTTTGTTGGTGGCTCCTGCACATTATTCTCCTGGTTTTCATGACATATTGGTGCACCTTGTCCAATCCACGATGAGTCATCTGCCCATGGAGTATTGTGCTGTAATAGGCCATTTTGATAGAACATGGGGGCCAATTTTATTGAACCACATTGATGAGCCCCCAACTTCCTCCTCACATCCAAGCATCTGAAGTGTTACTGCAGTACAGGGGAGGTGATGGCCCAGTGGTATTATTGCTGAATGGTTAATCTAGAGACCCTGATAATGTTCTGGGGACCCAGGTTCAAATCCCACCGTGGCAGATGGTGGAATTTGAAATCAATAAATATCTGGAATTAAGAATCTAACAATGATCATGAATCCATTGTCAATTGTCAGGAAAAACCTATCTGGTTCACTACTGTCCTTTAGGGAAGGAAACTGCCATCCTTACCTTGTCTGGGCTACATGTGACTGCCCTCTGGGCAATTAAGGGATGGGAATAAATGCTGCCTAGCCAGCAATGCCCTCATCCCATGAATGAATAAAAAAAAATACATCAAGTGCTTGCCCAATCAGGGTCTTTATTTTTTTGAGATAACAACATGTGGAGCTGGATGAACACAGCAGGCCAAGCAGCATCAGAGGAGCAGGAAGGCTGACGTTTCAGGCCTAGACCCTTCTTCAGGAATGGGGGAGGGGAAGGGGGTTCTGAAATAAATAGGGAGAGAGGGGGAGGCGGATAGAAAAATGTCAGCCTTCCTGCTCCTCTGATGCTGCTTGGCCTGCTGTGTTCATCCAGCTCCACACCTCGTTATCTCTGATTCTCCAGCATCTGCAGTTCCTACTATCTCTTTATTTTTTTGCCTGTTTTAATACTGACTGTGTGTTGGGTATTGGAATGTGCAAAGGTCACAATCTAGTTTACAAGTTCACAATACAAGTTCACTAAGTTCACAATACCAAATGCTTTAAATAGAACATAATGAAAGGGGCTGTCAAATTGATCAGATGAACGTAGGATTCAGATGTACTTCGTATGCTAAATACATTCAAATATGACACACTGAAAGCAAGCATTTTAAAAGGAGTGCATGTAATGTATTCTATGTAATATTGTTCCACTGAAACTATCCCTCAATGTTTGAAGGAGGCATAGGAGTTTGATTTACTAGAATTGCTTATTAAAATGTACTTTGAACATAAAAAAAAGTGAATGGAAGCTAAAAATAACATTTTATTCTAACTAGACTTAGAAAGGATACAAGAGCTGTGGATGCTGAACTGAAATCTTAAACATAATTTAAGATTGCCTTCTTCAGCATTCTTGCTGTGCACAGAACTGATTATCTGGCATGATTACAGAGCCTCAACAAGACTATAAATCAGGAGCAATAGGCTCCACTGTTACTGAGATTCAAATAAGCTACCTGCTATTTTCTGTGGGAAAAAAAAACACTGCTGGTCAGGCAAAGTGAAGGAAGGGAATGATAATGGAAAATAATTAAAAATACAACATCTGCTTTATTCATTAATCTACTAGTTCATCCATCTATTATTCCTAGTTATAAATTAGTGCCTGAAAGAAATCCTCAGTGAACATTGGGTCCACAGTACATTGCATATTAGACCATTCAAGCTTTCTTGCCTAAATAAAATGATAGTGTTATGCTTTGTTACATATGAGATGATTGTTGAAGTAGGAGGAGGATTTTGTTTTAAAGATTTATTTTGAAAATGCTTTAATGCTGACTTCAATGTCCAGAAAGTACTAGTAAAAGAAGGTTTCACTAAAGCCTGCTATTAAAGGTAATTAAAGATACATTTTTCAAAAAACAGAATACAGTTGACAATAGCCCACACCATCACCCACGATTGAATCAACCACTAATTAACTAAGAGCACACCAAATAAAGTATGCAATCTTCATTTTGATTAATTAATTTCCACAAAGGCAAATATCTGTTACCAGTTCCACAAGATGTATGATGGTGAGCCTTGTGACAAATTAAAACCACATTTAATCTTTATCATAATAGAATAGAATAGTCATTTCATGTCAGTTGTATTTTTTTAACCTTAAAACAGTGAAAAGTGTTTAAGTTACTATACCATGGCACATATATTAATAACAGAAGGTAAAGATACAAGTTTCTTAAGAGTTGAGACAAAGTCCATCTTAGTTCAATTCCCGGTCACTGGCTTTGGGAAGAGACAGTACCGCTGCAAGGCTGCCATGCCAGTCCACTAGAGGCCGCTGCTGAAGCAGGCCATCGAGAAGTACCATGAATGCTACACACGGTGGCTCAGTGGTTAACGATGCTCCCTCACAAGACCAGGGACCAGGGTTCGATTCCACCCTCGGGCAACTGTCTGTGAGGAGTTTTTACATCCTCCCTGTGTCTGCAAGGGTTTCTTTCGGGTGTTCCAGTTTCCTCCCACAGTCCAAAGATGTGCAGGTTCGGTGGATTGGCCATGCTAAATAGCCCACAGTGTCCAGGGATGTGCAAACTTGGGGGATTTGCCATAGGAAATGCAGATTACAGTGATAGGGTAGGGATGTGGATCTGGGTGGGCTGCTCTTAGGTGGGTCAGTGTGGAGTTGATGGGCCAAGTGGCCTGTTCCATACTGTAAGGATTCTGTGATGATTCTAATCTATTTAAAGGTTAAGTAATATATAACTTAAAAACATTCCTTGTACTTACAACAACTCGTGCACTGCTGCTCAATTCTGTCCCATAGTTGTCTGTTGCAATAACTTCAAACTTATAATAAGACCGTCTCATGTTTCTGAATGTAATGGCTGTCTTGATTGCGCCAGTATACTGTTCTATTACAAATCCATCCTTTCCATCTTTTGTGGGTGGTATGATTAATCGGAACTGAGAGATGCTGTAGTTTCCACTGTCCTGATCTTCAACCTGCCAATGTACAGAAGGATAAAAAATAGACACTCCTCACATTATTCACAATACAAAGTGCTGGTACCAGAGGGGATGATCCATCTATTTTAATATACTGTTAAATTTTGATAGAAACGAGAGAACCTCTGATCCATACTTTCAATTAAACCAATATTTAGAGTGTTCCCACCAGAAGTAAGCAGCAGTCATGTTGCCCAGCAATGGTGAAATATCAAAACATCTGCTATTTCAGTTTCTCAAAATATTTTTAGATATCTTATTTGGGTCTTCAGCTAATGTCGAACAATTGGACCTATTGTCAAGGAAGCAAGGTTTGCAACAAATAAATCATGTTGAAACTGATTATATTCTAGGTGAATATTTATTGTGATGAAAGACACTGACGTATCATCACAGCAAAAATCAAAGGATTGTGAGAAAAATAACTTTCCATCTTGTGTTCTAGACCTTTGAATTTTGTTCACCCCATCTCTATTCTTTATCCACCCATAAAACGCATTCAACTATTTGTCTTTGCCTGTCTTAATTGTGTTTGAATGTATGGGTGGGTCAACCCACAGCAGGAGGACTGCAGCGGTTCAAAAAGACAGCTCACCACCATCTTCTCAAGGGCAACTATGGATGGGCGAGAAATGCTGGCCAGCCAGCGACGCCCACATCCCACAAATGAATTAAAAAAAATGGGCATTTGGGGTCTTGAAAGGGCATAATTTAAATAGCATAAATTAGAATTTTTCTTTCACTGCTTTTGTTAAACTTAAGTGTACTACAATAAATAAAGTTTTTTTTTTCCCTGGTACTGATGAAAGCTGGCTTGAATTGCTTTTGGCCTGAGTAGCAGTCAGTCATACACATTGGACATTTTAGATGTCTAACTGAAATACTTTTATGATTTCTGACAGCTTATGGAACAGTGGGACATGATTATCAGTGCACTCTTCCCAATTAAGTTGTGATACAGGATTTTAACCATGTACCAAGAAGCCAGCAGATGTGTCAATAACTGACAAAATGTGAATAATTACATCAACAGGGGTGGCACGGTGGCTCAGTGGTTAGCATTGCTGCCTCATAGTGCCAGGGACATGGGTTTGATTTCAGCCTTGGGTGACTGTCTGGGTATAGTTTGCACATTCTCCCTGTGTCTGTGAGGGTTTCCTCCAGGTGCTCCAGTTTCCTCCCAAAGTCCAAAGATGTGCAGTTAGGTGAATTGGCCTTACTAACCTGCCCCGTAGAGTCCAGGGATGTGCAGGGTAGGTGGATTAGCCATGGAAAATGCTGGGTTACAGGGATAGGGTAGGGTTTGGGTGGGATGTTCCTCAGAGACTCATGTGGAATCAACGGGATGAATAGCCTCTTTCCACACTACAGGGATCATGTGGCTCTTCTATGAGATTTTAAAAGTAAAAGGTCATGAGAGCAGTATAGGAATAGATAGTTTGGTCCTGAAGTCTCTTCTGCCATTCAATATAATAACTGACATAGCTGAGTTCCATTTACCTATTATAACTTATTTTCTATCAATACAACAAAGTCTTGTTAGCTCCAGTGCAGGGTGAGAAAGAATTCGGCACTTCTACAGCCTGTCGTGTGAAAAAATATTTTCTGATTTCAATATTAAATGGTCAAGCTCTAATTTGAAGATCTTGCCCCATCCCCATACTTGATTCCCCAATCAAAGAGTATCAGCTTATTTTCTATCTATCCTTTAGAATGGTTTTAGCACTTTAAGCATGTTAGTCAGATGCCCCACCAAGAACAAATATGACACAGGCGATTGATCCAAACAAACATAGTCACATGTAAAATACTATTTTTAAAGTAAGGACTTTGTGTGGAATTGGATTTTGTTATTAGTGGCATTGCAAGAAATAAATCTGTAAATAAAACTGCTATATTCAGCATAGCTGGACAGTAAACTACATTCTTTGGCGCTGATAAGGCAAAATATTAAAACATTTTGTTTGTTGAGTGTGATCATGATGAATCATCCATGATAATGATTGAAAGAAAACCATTAGCTGTATTATATTTAGACAAAGTGAGCACATCGCACGGTCAATAAAATTATCATTCTACATGTTACAAATATGATTGACTCGTTCCTGGCTTAAACATATGTAAATGTTCGTAGATTTTGGTACATAAAAATTGCAAAATGGAACATACAAAGATAAGATGTCCAAAGTGCTGTAATTACAAAAAATAAGACATCCTTTACTGTTGTATATAACTTTATTTGAAAGCAAAACAAACTTCCCCTTGCCTTTGCCCTTTGAAAAAAGATGTTCTGTAGATATGAATGTTCTTTGCTTCGAGACACTGGGAAAGCTAAGTTCATGATGTTGTAGGTTGAATAACATATTTCAGGATAAATTGCTTCAATTAATTTCACAAAGGAGATAAGTAATTATCGAAGGAAGGTGCCATTGTCTTTAGCTGTCTTGACAACAACTATATAAGCAATAAGAGGAATTTCAGGTCCTTGATGCAGTGTCCTAGTTGGAGAATGATGTAATCTGTGTCGTTGCAATAGGGAAAACTGGTCGAGTGAAGTGCCTGCAAAGCACTGAACTGACCAAGGTCGGTCCTTTCCCAGAATTTGGAATCCTGGGGCAGAAATCCCATTCCCGGGGAGCTGCCAGCTGATTAGAGTTTGGCAGCTCTATGTTACAGGCTGCGCAGCAGGATTAGGCTCTGCTTCTGGTTAATACAAGGAGGCCTTCTCCAGAGATTATTTCGGGATCCCATCCATAGAGAGGGATGAGTGGCACATACTGAGTGCCACAGCGATGACATCATTGGCAATTAGTGGTGAGCAGGTCCCCAGTATGGTGGTGCTTGGATACAAGGGGCAGGGCTTTTAAAATAAAAAGGTCATGGGATTTGGTCGCTTACTGGCTAGGTCAGCATTTATTGTCAATCCCTAATTGTCCAAATGGATATTAAAAGTCAACCACATTGCTGTGGATGGTGAACCAGCTTGAGAAGGCAGATTTTATTCCCTCGAGGACAATAGTAAATCAAGTGGAATTTTTTTTTGACAATCGGCAGTGGTTACAAGGTTGCCATTCATTGGGTTTTTATTTCAGATTTTTATTGAATTCAGGCTTCACCAATTGCCATGGTGGGATTTGCTCCCATTTCCCCAGAACATAAGGATTATTAGTCCAGTGACATTACCATTACACTGTTGACAACCCCATAGGGTAAATTGGGGGTGGGAGTGGGGGCGAGGGTTTAGCTCTCAGATGGTGACCACTTCCCAATGGCTGTTCTCTTGAGAAGTGCCTTTGGAAGATGGACCTCCTCTGGAGAGGTTGCTGTCAAACATGAAACGGTTTGCCAGGCAGCCATCAAGTGGCACAGGAAACTCGTGAGCGTTTTGGAATTCCCTGAGCCACCTCAAAATCCCAGCAGGCTCAAGGTTAATGATCCTTAAGTGGCTCAATTCATTAACTTAACCAGTCCGTTCCCTACTTTGGCTCATCCATGCTGCTGACCTAATGTGTATGACGTTTGTCTGCCATTGGGAATGAACCAAATGGTTTTCCTGTCACAATATGGCCCCAGCTCTCAGCGAGCATGCTCGGGGCAACTGCATTCAATCTATGATGCATGCACAACCTAAATTCTGTCTGAACTGAACCAGAAGAGGGAGCTACTGCACCACAAACCAACCAGCAAAAATATACCCATCAATCTTGTCTATCAATGATATCTGAACATCAATCAATAAAATAAAGACATAAAATTATATTCCAAGTAAATGTGCATGTTGAATTCTCTTGCTAAGTTATTCAGCTTAGAAAAACAGAACCGATATTGTCTTTGTCAGCATCATTCAAAACAAAAGTACACAGGAGAACTCAGTTTAACCGCAGGGTTGCCTCAAACCTCAGGCTGGGCTTCTTTGCAAAAGTCATTTAATCAGTTCCATTTTGAGACGCAAACGCAAAAGGTTCACTTTCACGTTTATTGATGAATTTGCATATTGTAGCTTTATACTGTCCATTTATTCTCACCTGCCAAGATATACAATTATTTTAAATGTGATATTTGTAATACACTACTCCTGTTCACTTCTCTAGCACTTCTTAACAATTTGGTGATGTAATATTTAAATGTTTAATGAGTGCAAACCTATTTGGGTAAATTCTAGTTTTAAAATAATATTATTGTGATTTTTACATGTTTAAAAAATGGATAAATCAACAAGCTAGTTATTGCAATTCCTTAATTTGCTTAATTAAAGATTTAAAAATTTGCTTTAAAACTTTGACTGTCATAATAACTGTACATGATTTATCAATTCCTTTAGTTGACCAAGAACTTATTTCTTCTTAATGGTCAATTAATGGTCCTCTTATTTTGAAGAATGAAAGTGATTTTGTTCAAAATTCTTACAGGACTAGAGAGGGTGGATATAAATAGGATGTTACCTCTGGCTGGTGAATCTAGAACCAGGGACCATAATCTAAGGATAAGAGGCAGTCAAATTAAGATTGAGATGAGGAGGGATTTCTTCATTCAGAGGGTAAATCTTTCAAATTCTCTGCCCTAGTGGGATGTGGAGCAACGCTCCTCTAATTTTATTTTTGCTGCACGGACCTCCTTCAAATTTGGAAATCATTGCTGATTGATGCATGTAATGGACCAGACCAGACCCCCTCAAAATAATTTAAGAAGGTAGCCTAGACCCTGACTTTTTCTTATTTTAAAGGTAGATGTGAAGTGATGTGATGCAACTGGTCAAACTACTCAACACTAAGCAAAACACAATTTATTTAAACATTATAGCTGAAATACAAACAAAACAAAGAGGAATTTTGAATAACTTACTATTGGGAAATTTAACTGAATAATAGATACTGTACCTGTTACTAATTAATTGTCTAAATATAGTAACATTCCATAAACACAAGCCCTCGCAAAAAGGTAAATTCAGTCACAGATTCTTACATGCCCTTCAACATCGAGAGAGATTTCAGAGGAAG